GGGAGCTCATCTATCTCAGGTATGATAAAACAGAAAGTATAATGAGAAATATTTACTTCAATAATGAGCATATTCAATAGATCTTTTTTTGTATGGTATAAATTTGTTATCATATTGTTCCAGGGAGTTGTTATTGAACCAAAACTTCCTTCGCGTGTTACCGTACGAACTAGGGAAGTTGTTCCAGTTACAAGTGCTAGGACTTCAAGGAAATCCACTCAGCAAGGATGTGATGGCGTTATATGGAAATGGAGAACCTGCGGGGACGAACAAGCTGCTGACATACATGTTGGACAACTTACAAGGTAAGTGGAAGGCTTTTATTTGTTGAGCGAGTTTTCGAAGACATTTGAATCTCTTCCTACAAAATTTTTTTTACATATTTTCTATTCTATTAAAGTAGTAAGACATGCGCCATCTGCTTGGTAATAATGATAATAAATATTGAGAGAACAGAGTATCCAAATGATAATAAAAATTAAGAATTTAGAAGAAAAATTTCTTTTCGAAGAGTTTATAAACTTATTTTACTTTATTTTGTTTAATTTATAAGTTCAAATAAAATGATTTAATTGTAATCTTTTAAATAAATCGGCATGATTCAGTGCACACATGTATTTACACAGCACCCAAGAAATCAATATCGAATGGTCTTTTCTATTTATATTTGCAATGTTTTTTTTCTATTTGTGCTGAAATCGTGTATGATCGTCGGTATAAAAAGCTACTGTTTTATCTACGTGACATTCGACATATTCTCATAACAGTTTAATGTCGTTTGTGACAGATGACGCCACGTGTCCCATTTAGATGTCTAAGAAAGCTTAAAAAATTATTTATATCTTCTAATTTTTATAATTTACATATAATGTTACATTTGTGTGTACATATTAATATAAATTTCATGATAATATATTCTTCTTAAAAACAGAAAAAAATTCTTTTCGGAAAATATGTAAAGGGGGGAAGTTTCTATTTCTTACTTGAATTAAAGTCTAGAATGTAATTAGTTTAAAAGACATTTATGTATAAAAAATACCTTGTCAAAATAAACAATATTGATGTGAGATTAACTTTTCTAAGAAAATAGTTAGAAAAAAGCCAATAATTTTCCGTAAATGTTTAGAGCTCTTTGCAGTACTTTCGAGCTTCTAAACTTTATAAACGCTTCTTTGAATATCAGATCAGCCTTTATCAAAAGGAAATCTAATTACCACCGAATAAGCGAGCATTAATCTTTAGATTTTTTCTCTTTTACGCTCGGATGGGTGGATGGGTGGGTGGGCGA